TGCACACTGGTGACAGCTGGGGCTGGGAGAGGAGCCTGGGGAATGGTGGGGAGAAGGTAGGTGTAGCATCACAGATGAGGGCGAGTGAGGCTGGACCCAAGGCAGAGGTGGCGGGATGGGGTAGAGGCCAGGCCAGAAGTGCCAGGCCAGATGTGAGGACAGGAATCAAAGGCAACAGCCAGTCTGGGGTGAGCTCCCTTCACGCCTCACCCTGAAGGCGCAGCCACAAGTGCGGGTCGTGCCCTTTTGGGGCTGGTCCAATGCAAGCTGACCACAGCTGGATTTTAGAGGCTGTTCTGCTTCCTGCTTCCAGATGTTATGCCTTTTCCATGCATCAAAACCAGAAGAAAATCCTTTTTGAGGAGTAGATAAGCCACAAGCTGCCCTGTTGCTCTTCCACAATGGCCTTATGCCAAGGTTCACCCCAAAGAGAGGTGGGGGAGCCTCTCTGGAGAGAGGGCTGCCTCTCAGCACCTGGCTGGTCCCTCTGCTACTCTCTGGCGGGAGCCAGGGGGGTAGACACCTGAAGCCGAAGGGCAATAAGTCTGCACATGCTGCATGATTTCTGAGTTTGGGAGGGTCCACCGGACACTAAAGATCAGTTATCATCTCCCCACAAGGGTCTGTAAGCTGGTCTGGCCAACCCCCTGTTTCAGCACTGTTGCTCCCAGATCCCAGGCTGTGCCCCTTCTCAGACACCTTCCCTTCTGACTCACTGACAATTTAATTCATACATTTTTCCAAAGTCCTGGATCTATAGCTTGGTGTTCACAGTCTTCCAACACCTCTCTCATCTGCATACACCCAGGTGTCATACTTAAGCCACAGGGAGTGAATGGCTGAACCTGTGCTGAACTGTCATGCCCAGGCCTTTGTGGAAGCTGTTCCCTCAGCCTGGACACCTTTCCTTCCTTCATTCATCAGACTTGCTCAACCTTCCCCAAGCTCCCGGCTCCTCCTTGGCCACACCCTGAGCGTGCGGGTTAGGTTTTCACTGCACACCCACTGTGCTCTTCTTCCCACACCTCCAAGCTGAGGGTTCCTTGAGTGCAGGGCTGGCGTCTCATTCAGGGGGCAAAGGGTGGGTTAGAAATGTGATTGAATGGGGGTAAGAATAGGGGTGGCAGAGCCTGGGGGTGCACTTCCTCCCTCCAGTGTTCAAGGTATCCCATACCTGTGCATGTGCCCTGTGCCCATCCACGCCCAGCCTTGTCCTGCCCCCTGAAACTTCCCAGAGCTGAGTTACAGGCTGGGATACAAGAAGCAGGCTGTCCTGATTTGGGGGACTGTCTCTCTAGGTAGAGCCAGGGGTAGCAGCAGGTGGAGAAGGGGTGCTGCCCACTGGGACTGGTCTGGGAAGAGATGCTGCAGGGACTTCCGGCAGAGCCATGCCCCCATCAGGGCCAGTCTCCCAGCCACACCAGAGGCCCTGAGGGTGTGTGGGCTCCGCTTGCAGCGGCCTGCCAGGGTCCCCGCAGTCCTCCCGGTTCAACAACCACACAAATGGGCTAACAAGCAGAGATGAGGACAGGAACGCTCATGGGGTCAGCACCCGTGTGCGCTCGCTCATCCTCACTCTGCTAGGCCTGAGGCCATCACTAGTGTGCTCTCTCTCCACCCCCCAGCCTGTGTGACAAATACTCCTCCCCCACTGTCAGGAGCTGAGGCTGGGGGCAGGGGGAGCGATCAGCACCGTGGTTACAGACATGGACTCTGGTGTGGGATGACTGGGCTTGTGTTTTGGCTGCTCCACTTGTGAACGATCTGAAGCAAGTCCCTTCAACTCCTTGAGCCTCAGTTTC